GTTGAATAATTCTGCTCCGCGTTAGGCGGGAAACGACACGCTTATTCATTAACTCCATTCCTCTGCTTTGGGTCTGATCCGATACCGCGATCACTAGCGTTCGTTGCAATAGTGAACATCCATTCGACACTGGTCGGTTTGTGGGTCAGTTGCTGATCCAGCGTCCGCGCTTTTACACGTTCGAAAGCCCCATATGCTTCCCTGATCCACTCGGATTTCCGATTTTGTCCCAGCAATTCGTACAATGGAGCAGCAATCGAACGGAAACCATTGACTAACCGACTGTAGTTGGAATTGTGAACAGCACAATTCTTGAGATTTGCCAGCTCGTCTTGGCAGTGAACTAATCACCCGTGGCCCACATTACGCCCATGAGTATCACCGAACTCTAAGCAGGATTCGAAAGATTAATCGGACCGTAATCGGGCTGTGGCTGTCTCTTCGTTTGTTGAGATTTTCGATTAGCTCTAACACTCCCAATATTTCAGAGTGTTGGTCTTGCTTTCTGAATGCTGGCAACTATCTGTCAAGGCTGAATACCGGGAGAATAGTGCGCTCACATTTAAGAATACCCTATAATAAATTAAACGGATGCCGTTTGTTTTGTCTCAAGCACGATTCACGATATCAAAAGCCCAGAAGATCGATGTCAATAACTTTTCACATCTTGCATCAACCACGGATTCTGTGCTCCTGACAGAATGTGCTCCCAAGTTTGTTTGCTACATGTATATGCTGATCAGTGGTTCGTGCTGCACGGAGATGTCGCCTTGGCGCATTGAGTGAAATGACAATCCGTCAAATTTCATTCGGAATCCCCGCTGCTCTCACGGAAATTACAAACATTTGCATTCATTTTCGCTCCCGTCGAGTCTCAGCAATGCGCCTGCACTTGTATCAATCAGTCACAGCTTCTTCTTCCTGTCTATGTCGATAACGGACTGCATGGTGGTCTAGGTCACTGCGCTTATCGCAACTTACTCGGGAATAGAGCAGTAATCGAATTTTCTATTATATACAAGTGATTGAGTAAAAGGACATTGGTTTTTGCAGTGGCGAGGCATGACACAATTGTAGCAGCGGCTTTTTCTGGCATGTCTGTGTAAACCCGTCTCCATGGGTGCAAGCCGTTTGTCGAGTTATTCTACCTTGTTTACTATGTCTTCCAATGTTTTATCATGCCTTTTCTTCTGCTAATGTAACGTGGTCAGTGTTGCATCAGCCGATTCCCGCACCAGGTTCACCTTGGGTTCCACACTCAACTGGCCAGTTGCTGGTGTCAAACGCTTGAATCGGGTCGCCCCTGCTGTTAGACAGTGGGGATATCATCTCTTCTTCCTCTAGGGGGCTCGTCCGCTTGAATCGGATCGGCCCTGCTCGTCCCTTAGGAGTTCAAGTTCTTCCGTAAAGATATTTGCCAATTCCAGGATTATTTGAGATTGCATTGTTAAAACTTGAACTTCATTATAAACCACTGCGTCAAAAAACGAAGTAGGTGAAATTCAGACATGCTTTTATAACTTCTGCTATATTACCTGCCGTAAGCTCAGTCCGTTCTGAAATGATGGTGTTCGCTAATAACTGTCAGTTGGCTATTTCTAAAGGGTCCCCTTTTGGCACATTTGAACATAACGAATTCTCATTAAAAACTTACAATGAGGTCATCTAATTAAACAGGGACACCCGCTGCTTTGTTGGCGAGGTCACGTGAATATTTAATGTAAGCACTGGATTTACCGGTGTGGGGCTTTAAAATTCCGGCCAAGAATCTGGCCAGTTCATGCGGTGGAGAACCTATTCTGTCTACATCTTTCTCACCGGAACATTTGGTTTATGGATTTTTGGAAGGCCGCAAGGTCGGAAGGATCTCAACCACTTCGTTCAATCATTCATTAGGAGAAGCCCCGATGATCGATGAGTGAACCGCCAGTAAGGTCGGACACTAGCCTCATGGCAGCAACAACCCAGCATCTAGGAAGAACCCGCGGATTGCCAATGTCGGAAGAAGTTGCTTGTTACGAGGCGGTATCTAGTCAGTTCCAAGCGCAATGCATTACGATTCAACTGGTTAGTGCAACGGAATTAAAATGACAACGTTGTGGTACTGGTGGACAGTCATTCCTGTTATCGCGTGCAGCGTTTCTGAGTGAGTGACCACTTCGAGTGACCTAGAGTGACCACTTCTGAGGAGTAAGTTTCGCAATTCAATGGAACTCTCCTTCCCATGACCTGTTATTGAAGCCAATCTAAACCGAAAATTCGAGAATCTCTATGAAACATTTTCATCGTATTTGGGAAGCATAAACGTGTTTCATTTGCACACGAAATCACGTTTGACGGGAGCACCAAGAAGGACGAAACCTGCCATTGGTTGCCTGAGATCTTTATGCAAATTTACCGGTGATATATGGCGCCAAACCAACAGCATATTGCGTACCTCGAATATCGCATCAACCGGAATAATAAGGAAGCGGACCCTCACAAACAGGCAATTCAACTGGATTCATCTGAGTCTCATGTCAAAACCAAGTTCTTATGCAAATGAGCAAAGTTCTCAAAGTCTGTCGAAGTTCGGTTCAAGTGGAATATGGGGTAGATGGAAACTCGGGGACCGGTAACGACGAATGACCAAACCGGTGGTGAACTGTTGAAGAATTTTCAGCACACTTATGAGTAGTGTGACTTAGAGAATGAACATAGTCAACCCGCGCGCCCCAGAGCCTAGCAACTTACCGGCGATACATCAAACATGATTTCGTTAGCTTGAAGGTGGTGAACGTCTAGCTCATTGATTTCCGAGGCCTATAAGCCCTACTTGCTAGTATACAGAGATACGTATACGGAATATCTGCAATAGCCAGTTTGTAATTGTATATCAGTAAATATAGGGAAGCCGTTAGCTGTGTTGATGCTTATCAGAACACACCATCTGCACTTTTGCAGACAATGGGACGGGAAACTAAAACCCTTTCATGAACCTCAAAGTAAAGTAAATTTTTCTTCTTCTTTTTCTTGAACGCATCTTCTCGAACTTCTCTGGATATTCGCTGACTATCAGACAAATATAGGGATACCAGCCCAGCCGTAACCCAATTTTCTAGTCAACGAGATGACTCGGATATCAACCGTGCGTCACCATGAACAGCGACTTGCCTTTGGTTAACTGATTGGAAGCACGATAATAGGGAGACAAGGAATTGGAAACATTCAAGTGTCACTTTGACTGGGTGAGTCCGAATGAAGCCGGCATAATTTGCTGGAACGACACAGTTTCTGATGTTGGTCTACCGTGATACCTAGCGTCCTAAGACGGAAGCTTATCGTCGAATGCCATGGGATGGCATATACTTTCGCAGAGGGCCCACTGACTCGATGTAAGAAGTGAGGTGATTGATTATGTGGTGTCCTGTAAGCGACGCCAAATAATGGAAGGGGACACCACAGAGGCAATCCACCACATGGAACCTATTGTTCTACCGGAAAGCGGCGAGTTGTTGTCTGGGGCCGCCACGGACGGAACCCCTTTCTTAGTGAATCGGTGCGGCAGTCGTACCCAATCTGCAGGCGACGACGTTCAGAGGAGTGGTAATGCATCCCATCTGAGGCCTTGCTCCGTGTGCGAGGAATTTGGGATTTGCTTGCATAAGCTGTGTATCAGACAAGCCAGGACGGCACCATACCACCATCGAACAAATGGCCTAACCGAACGTAATAACCGAACGATCAAGGGGTGGCTGGCGGCCAAAGAGGTGACTGGGAAGTGAACTTGCTAATGGTGTTGTTCCCAGTCAGACGACCACAGGCAGGTATCCGCTTATGCTGAATTACGGTCCACATCCGCCCCTTCCGCTTGATCAGGAAATGGGCTTGCGGCGGGCAGAATTCTTGTCTCCAAAGAGCTATAGAAAGAAGGTAGGAGAATTTCAGCAAACCTGACCGCATTTCAGGAAAAAACTAGGAAGTAACCGGTGAATAGAAAGGGGCAAACATTCCCCGTAGACAAGAAGGTCAAGTGGAATGAGCACCAGTATCCTGGAAGGAGTGGACTGGGGTTGCGGAAACTAGGTAGTCGATGGCGGGGCCCGTTTGCCGTTACTGACCGCCTGGTGAATGCCTATACGATGCAAGATGGCCGGGGAGCGAAAATAGTTCGTGTGACGTAGATTCGTAAGGGGTATGATACCCCGAAAAGCCCGCCGACTAGACCCGCTACAGAAGCCGACCTGACGAAAGTAAACGAAAATCGAAGGCATGCGATCGACTCTTAAAGGGTGGTGTGTAACGGTGATACTACTGAAGGGGAGGCATGTGAGTAGTAAGCACTACTGAAGGGGAGGCATGTGAGTAGTAACCTTTCTCCTTGTAAACTCGCTCGAAAAGGGAGATCTTTGCGGAATTTTTGGACTCCTTTTTACCAGTTGCTTCGACTTTAGGAACACTCACTGAATGTCCAGGTACGCTCAGCAAGACGCGTTCAGGTGAAGATGGATGTTCAGTTTTTGTAATTAAGATGCATATGAGACGTGTGCTTTCATATCCAATAGTCTATAACTGGTCAGTTGGCATTTTGTGATAAATTACTCCTCAGCGAAAGCCTTCTTCCTGTCGTTGATATTATTAGGAGTTTGGGACAGTTCAAACTGGGATAGAGGTTTTCACTATGGCGTTTTATTACAAAAAGCCGCATTAATGCCCCCACGGACCAAAGGAGTTTTAATGGTACTCATAAAGCCAGCAGATACGTAAAAATAATTTTGTGGACCCAGGTTGTTGCCCAACGAAGTTCCAGAAAACCCCACAAATCACCAAAGTGCATACATTGTTGGAATAATCAGTCATTGAACATGCTGATCAAAATGGCCTCACATACCCTGGTTAGCATGAACTTTGTACCACACACCTATTTGAATTGTGGTGGATAACTTTTTTCACATAATAATCATACATTTGTAAGGCAAAGTTCAATTCACAGGAGACGCACATTATAAAATCCCAGGCGCATGAAGTTTCAAGTGATCCTGAATATGATGCGTCGTTGTTCGTTTCTTATCGCGCTCTTGCTCTGCATCGACCACGTTGCATGGTTGGAAGCCATTGGTATCCACAATTGGTCATCCTTATTTAACAATAATCCGTCTAAGAACTGGGTTGTCCTTGCCGCTGGTTCCAAATCCTGGGGTAATTATCGACATCAAGTAGGTTTCCGTTGGTCTTTATTGGTTTGTGGCTCAAACGTTTATCTGAATCCCGTGAGCAAGGGATTTCAAAGTGGAAGTTCGCAATACTGGTCCGCCAAAATAGTTGTGTCCGCTTGTTGTCGTCATGGCTGTGCTATTTCAGTCGAAACGACGGTGGATAGAAGCCACAAGTAATAGACAACCTTAGGAACGCACATTTCGGTGGTCTGAATGCGTTTTCGTCAGTATTTCCTTGTCGTAAAACGATATCCTTTGGTTGAACTCAGATGCTACTGAGGTGTATAGTGTGATTCACGTTAATCGGAATCAGACTTTCGTCATTCATAAGCGTTTATTGTTGCGTTACGTTAAGGGAAATCACGGCCTGTGGGTGGAAGGTGTGGTGTTGTATAAAACATGAATTCGATGGTTTTCCAGGCACCACTAATAATCTCACCTGACATTCTACCTTAATTAAATTGGATAAAACTCACGGGCTCCGGAGTACTTTAGCCTGGAAAGACTTGTTGTATGAACCATTTCTCAGAAAACACAACAAAGAACAGTGACGTACCAACAACATTGGCTGTTACGGCGAAAGCACCGGAATTGCTATGCAATGGGAGCGGATAAATCTATACTACTTGATGAGATCAAGTAGCCTGTATTTGGAATAAACAAATTGAAATCCATCTTGGTCAAAATCGTTCGTCCGCTCTTCTGTCATCCGCATGAGGTTATATGTGAATCGTATTGAAAATATTACACAATTACTGTGCCTGTATCCATTCTTGAGATTCAGTGGGTACTATTATTTTACCAATGTATCCATTCTTGAGATTCAGTGGGTACTACTTTTTACCAATGAGTATCTAGTACACAAGCGAAAGACTGATTCGAACGTATTTTCGAAGTCAATGGGATACCGGAATTGTACAGCTTCGGTGAGAATTTTGTTGTTCGGACACTTGACTGAATGTAGAACTGTGGTCCACACAGGCCCTTCCAGAGTTGAATCATGCATCTTGTTCTTGGGATAATGCATCCAAACATCGTTGGGACAACCGCCAACTATGGATTATCCTACAAAATATGTTTTCCTTCTCGAGCCCCCATGCCTCACTCTGCCTGGTATCCTTAACTCACGTTTCACTTGTGTTCTCATCCAGGCGGACGTTTACCACGCGTATCAATTGGTACGTAAGAACAATGTTCCACCGGAGAATATAATTACCTTTGCATACGACGATATTGCAAACAATCCCAGGTAAATATCGCGTACAATTTTAGCTATATGATAGCAAATAGAGTGTAGAAAACGCACTTTGTTGTTTGGCTTTGACACGTCTCATTGTTTTGCCGTATTTCTCGTGCATATAACTGTTGAATTTGAGTTGTAGACAATTATGGCGTTTCATGCGTCACTTCAGATGTCATATCAGATTTACTTTTGGTTGATGCGTTTTCATGCTTGTAAACGCCATGGAAACCTGATGCCAGCAGCACATTCTGATGATGATGACTATGATTACGGTGACGATGATAATCATATGTACTCGTGTGTCTGCTCGTTTGAGTAGCCTGAAAACAATCACATCGATATCTAGATATCGTTTCAGCGCATCACCTGGCTGATCATTTGGAGCAAATATTAAGCAGGCAATCTAGAAAGCTTAACATTCTCTAATGCAGTCGGAGAGCAGAAAAAACTTCCAAAAGCATTGATAGTTAGTTCTTGCGTGGAGACAGTAACAATCGTATGTCGTCCATTGCCCTATACTTCGTTTGGCTGCAGCACGTTTAAGGTGCCTAGCTGACATAACACACGTAGCGTCTTTGAGGTCTCTAGCTGCCACGACACACGAAATTTTTGCGTGGCCTAGGTTAGTGCCTAGATTCCAAGCCTCCAAGGAGGTCGGGAGGTAGAGGTAAGGATGGAACTTTGGAACTTCCGGTCGGTAAGTTCGCGTTTTAGCCACTTGAGCCATCTTGTTTGCTGCACAATTGAATTACATTCAAGGGCACTGAATACGGCTATGCTCAGATAGTCTACTACTGGTGGTGTTTGAATGTAAATTTCACTAGAAGAAATACATTTTTCCAACACATTTTAATTTTCTTTGTTGTGTACTCTACGGGGATCCCTGTAGGACACCAAAATTTTCTCTGCCTAAATGACTATTATTTAACACTCAATCATGTGTGACAGAAGTTGCACTCATCGTCATGAAAATTTATTCCAAAACAAGATCGCCAACCCCATTCGAACAGAATTTATGAGCGTTTCATTTCGTTCCATTCTGCCCACATGTTAATTTCTCCCAGAGGACTCAGTGCCACTTTTCATTCTCTTATTCTACAAATCCCTCTAAAGGCAAAGTGTTTAATGACTACTCGCACGTTGATGTATACAATGGTGTGATAATAGATTACCGAGGAAAAGTAAGTCCGTGTTCAGGTGCGCAGAAATGAATTGAACTCCTGAGGAAGTTCACCGCGTAACTCAAAGTGCAAGTGGAACTGTATTGAGGATGAAAACAAAAGACAAATATTGGGGTATGCAATTTCGTTTTACAATATTACAGAATCTCCGATCCTCTTAAACGAACGCTAGTCATAAGGTCGTAGAGAACTCTCAGGCAGCCCAGGACCGAGCTCAACCTTCTGCATTTGGCCCATCACATAGGCTAGCGTTCTTGTCATACGAACCACCAAAAGTGCACGAGGACCAACATTGCACGACTAGCTTTCTTCGGGGAAATATCCTGTGATAACCCGGGTGATGCTCCAGCAAACCAAGCAGCGTGTCCAGGACAGCACATTCAGCTAAAGAATATCATAGAGAAGAGATGCTCAACTGTGATTCAGTTGAGTGACGATGAGAGACACTCACTCCAAAATAGTGGCTATTTCTCACGTATGATGCATTCCTTAGCTAGTGAGGTACATGAGAGCTACTTGATCGTGCTTCCAGGTAATCCAGGATAAACTGAACTACCAACTCTACGCTTGAGGAGCAAATCCAAATGTCATGCTTGGCAAACATACCAACAATCCAATAATTTAGTTTTCACCATACAGTGACCATTGCGGAAATAAAGCAGATGAAGTTGGAGAGCAGATACTAGATTTCACTAATTTCTTATCGTGGAAGTGGATGGTTAAATGGAAGAGAGTGAGTGTGGGCAACACCATTGTCACAAGAATAATTGGCCATGCATGTTCATCCGTTTTAGGATGTCACACGGGATAACTTCGTGAAAGTATTAAAAGGCGATGATAAACTTGAAGCTAGCAACAAGAAGGTGCTGAAAAAGTGCGTTGGTGCGGAAGTGGATATTGTTGATTCACTTGCTGATCACAGCCAGTATTCTGGTTTTGCAGGTCACCGTCTTCGTATTTACGAAATGAGTTCTTAGAATTCTCGTATGTAACTTGGTACATAGTCTCTTTGAGTAAGGCTTCCAGAGGTAAGTCAAAAGGAGTTGCTTCACTGCAGGAGAAACCCGGTTTATCTATTTCTGGTTACGGGTTATTATTAAATCACAGGCAGCAATCGCCACTGTACAGAAGTTCCAAAAATATTCAGTTATGCGCAGTTTTGAATAGTCAAATATCTCCTCGAACTTGTACAACTTGTAGTCGGTCAATTTTGGTTTGCTCGGATTCAGGAGTTGTTTCAAATCACGGTGTTGAACAACGCAAATGAACACTGTTGTGTGTAGGACCAGAATCGAATGACGGTCCCGTCAGTTTACGGCGCTCTTTTAAAACTGTATCGCGATTCACCCATAATACTCTCAGGTTTTAGAATACCTGTCTCACCTATCCGGCTTGGTATCGTCAGAGTTGTTCCTTCGAAATTCCTCCCACGGCTTCTTGACCCGCAGATGACGAGATGGGAAGCGTCGGCATACAGAGCCAAGCCAGGAAACGAGGCAAAACTTTATTCGCTTGCAAACCGTACTTCTTCCATTCGGTCAGTTTTACGCTTTTTGGATATGCAATTGCGGCGCACTCCGCAATCAGCCACTCTTTGTGGGTATTTCCTAATTAACCGACGTTTCGGTAAACCGTTTCACTCGCAAGCCATAAGCGTTTCATCCGGTCAGTTTAAGACAGTTTGAGTTTGCAATTGCGAAGACGCACACATTTCTGAACTCGACGGCCAAGTGGTAATAGATCTGTAGCACTTTATTTGGTATCGCCTAGAGTGTGAAGTTTCCGCTGCCTGTCACGGACAATATATCGTGTTGTGGCAAGCTAGTTTTCTGCGAAACCACATTTTCAGGCAGAACATTTTTTGGGCATATTTAAAGGGGATATTTTTGTTACTTGACATATTATGAGTCTAATCGTTTGTATTTTGCAACCAGGCCAATGTACAAAACTTGTACAAAACTTCATCCTAGGTGAGCTCGAGAGCAACACATTAGATATCGGTAACCGATCAATCAGACCATGAACAGAAGGTCCTCAGACAGAAACTACTTAAAGCAGCAATCATATTCAGGAGATGCCATCCACAACGCAGTACAGTTTGAAATCGAACATTTGGACACCGAGAAGGGTATGCTCCCATCAGCCAGTCACAGCCGTATAACATCAGACAATTATCAAATAACTTCCAACCCAACCACTCACTCATGATGGCACTTAGGTTGGTGATGAAACATTTGCAAGCTGATCACTAAGAGCAAACAACGGTTGGACACCATCTTGATCTACGAACAACAAACGGAACATTTCCAGATCAATTTTAGATAAAAACATGTGGCTTCTTGGATATCCCTGTTCAAAATTAGGATCGCTCCACCTTGGTCATAACATTTTTCCTCAGTAATGTATAGATTACGTAGATATTTCATTAAACACATGTAATCATGCTAACCAGATCGTGTTTTCAAAACAGCCGAGTGTGACTGATTCAACGGCAAGAGGAAAAAACTAGCTTCCAACCATATCCGTGCATTGAAAACAGTAGGAATAAACCAACAGGCATGCAAAAAATCAAATTTTCCTCCCCATTTTCACGTGGCCACGCAAATAGCAGACAAGTGGAATTTAATTTAGCAACTGATTATATACAGCCGAGTGCACGAAGCAATATTCTGAACTACGTACTCGCTAAGCTTTCATTTCCGCGGGTATTTTCTTGTGCTTTCCTATCTGTGGGAGCGCCAGCCAATAAGCTACTCTTCATGACCACCTTAAACTTTCTGCCCAATAACAGCGGTCCCAACGACAACGTGTTCATCTTCTACTCTGGCCATGGTGGGACTTCCTATAT